CTGAGTTTACATGAGTTTTGGAGCAGTTACAGCTTTTTTGAACACTGTAGAAAAAGAGGTTGCACTTTTCTCTCCAAACCAAACACTCCTATTTTAAAAATGTTAATAAATGTGCAAGAAAGCTAAGTGTTTTGTCACATAACTCTAGATGAAAATAGTAGCAGAGATCAAAAGACATAAATTTCTATTTCTCAGGCAGAACTATTGGATCTTGAAGATTTCACAAATGCAACATCGTTTGCAAACAGAACGATCAGGCAGTCAATACTAACAGAAATTACAAAGCAGTCCTTTCTAGCCATCAGGGTATTTTTAGCAGTCATGCTGCTGTTTGGTTTACTCCTTATAGCCCCAGTCTGTGGAATCTTAGGATGTTGTAGCACCTTCCAGTACCTGAAGGAGCAGACAAGAAAGCTGGGGGGGACTTTTTACAAGGGCCTGTAGTGACAGGACAAGGGGGAACGGGTTTAAATTGAAAGTGGGAGATTTAGATTAGATATCAGGAAGAAGTTCTTCCTGGAGAGGGTGGGGAGGCACTGGGACAGGTTGCCCAGAGAAGCTGTGGATGCCCCATCCCTGAAAGTGTCCAAGGCCAGGCTGGATGAGGCTTGGAGCAACCTGGTCTAGTGGAAGGTGTCTCTGTCCATGGCAGGGGGGTTGGAACTAGATGATCTTTAAGGTCCCTTCCAACCCAAACCATTCTGTGATTCTATGATTATGATTCTATGACTGTGCAACAGTCTCTTCCCACAAATCAAGTTCACATGGCTAAGGAGAATAATTTGAAAAACAAAAGGAACTCTCCCCACAAAACAGGATTTCTGCCACTGGACAGCTGGCAGCATTCAGAGGAGCAGCGACACTCCTCCCTTTTTCTACAGCCTTCCTGACTTGACTATAATCTTAGAGCACCTAAGCTTCAAACCTCAGAACATCTCTGTGAATGAGCCACTTCTACAAATAGAGAATTGAAGTGTGAAGGAAAAAAACCCTCAGGAACCTACCATGCTTTTGCCCTCTAGACCTCAGAAGTTTAGGGAAGATGCTAAATCTCTCAAAGGCAACTGCAAGGCAATGACTGATCTCCAAACCATCCATCCCACACAAACTAGTGTTAGCAGTGTTCACACTGGAGCGTTCGAACTGAGTAATGAGTTTACAGATTGAGAGAAACACTCTTCAATGGGGATTAATCCCCCAAAACAATACAGTCAAAACAGTGAGACTATTTATTTCTGCTACTCCTGTTTGCCTCCTGGCTCATGTCCACATTGGTTTTTCCTTGCATTAAGATAATGGTCCTGTTCATATTACTTTACACTACTGTCTTCAGATACCATTTCTCTCTGGATCATTAGCATGTCTTCTCTGCCACAACAGTGCCTCGTGGTCCCAATCGTACCTTGTTGCCTAGCAGAACGGTGTGTGTGAACATAACTGAAGAGAGAACATGAAGAATTAATAAGAGTATCTTGCTTAGAGTAAGAGTTTGAATTCTCTTCCACTGTTTTAGTGATGCTTGGAATTTCTTTATGAGAAATAAACAAGATATTAATTAACTAATTGCTTATGTAACAAACATCACTACATAAAATCATCATCTAGAGGCACTGGAAGAAGAATTTGAATTATCTAGGTGAACTTCAAAGCAGAATTGCACTTGATGATTTCTACGGTAGTCTTCTCAAGTTTCCCAGCCATGTTTCCCAGTTCATGATATACCAGCACTCTACAGTTGGTAGCGTCTTGATGAGCCTGACCCAATTTTTGGATTATGAAAGACAATGCAAAGCAGCAGCTGATCAAAACTTAAAGGCTTGTTGGATGGGTTCATGGATGGTAAACCAACGGTGTCAGTGCTGTGGGCCAGCTGCCAGTTTCAGGGCACCCATACAGGCCTCTGTTGAAGTGATGAGCCACTCCAAATGCTGAAACTAAAAAGCTCTGCCTTCAGTGCTAAGTAACTGCTCTCCTGTTCCAGAGGCCAAATGGAAAGAAGCGTATTTCCGAGACTGTCTGCCAGATGCTAAGAGCGTAATGCCTACAGAATGAGGTCACTTCCATAGGTGGAAAAGCAGCAATAAGCTAAGCAGGTCACTCCACCCCAAGCCCTGCGCCCAGTAACAGCCTTTGCCTCCCTGTGGGAAAGCCCGTCACTGAAGGGCCATTGCCCTGGAGGAGTGACGACTTCAGGAGGCATCACTGCCAACTGCTGCGAGAGCTCCGGCTCTACACCCCGAACACACACCCTGCTCTTCCACGGCAGGCCTGGAAAGAGGGCAGCTCCCATCCATCCCCCACCACCCTGCCTAGCTGCAGGCAGCCTCCCAGGTGCACCCAACCCGCGCACCGCAAGCGGGACAAGCATGGCTCAGTACGACCGGCATCCTTGGCGAAGGCCTCACGTCAGTTCTACCGCTACACTGAAATGACGTAAGCTGTGCTGCAAGCGTCTCCTAAAACCACAAACATAATGCCTGCTGACACTAAGGACTAATAGCTCATTCTAACATCTCATCGCGTGCCACAGGCATCACGAAATCTTCAATAGAACTGTTCTACCAATGAAGGAACATTCCCTTCGCACAGCCGGAAGGCTCCCCACAACAAAACCTTTCCCCTGCACTGAAAGCTCTAGAGCAGAAGCAAATGGACAGGACAGTAGCCTAGACTGGAGTTCCTAACCCGACTTGTGCCTGCCAGCTGACCTGCAGAAGGGCTGGGCGGAGAGATGCGCACAGGAGAACAGGGGAGGGGGAGAAGGCAGGATTTCTGTGCTTGCTTTTGCTCTTTCATTCCACACCCATCACTTCTCATAAACAGCCTCTTTCCTTTTTGACCTTAAAGCTTGATGTTCCCTTCATCCTATCGAAGTTAACACCAACATTTTTATGGTTACAGTGACCAGACCCCACCTCAAAGTGAACCCCTTTTGCAGACAAGAAAATATGTAATGGTTGTTTTTTTTCCTGCAATTCTCCTGGGAATGAGCAAAGAGCAGGAGGTCTCTCCACCTGCAAAATACCATTGGCACTGAAACTTTCCCGAGGAGGCTGCCGAGCTCAGCCTGCTGTGCCGAGGCTGGGGATGAGGGCAGAGCCAGCTAGGCGGGAGCGCTGGAAGCAGCACCGCACACAGCCTCCGACAACCGCCCGCACTGACAACTGTGTGAGAATTAGGCTGCAGAGAGCTGTGGGTCACTGAGGACAGACTGCTTCTAGCAGCCGAGCCAGACAAGTTCAACGTAGACTTACTGTTTGTACGCTGCACTGCAGTCTGCAGTGCAGTCTCCATTGTGAATATACCCAAAAGCTGTGCACTCCAAATTTTAATTCAGACAGCAGGGAAGAAAAGACCAAAAAAGGCACTTACAGCCAAAGGAAAGAAAGTACAAAGGTCCAAGTAAAATGAAATTACAATTCCCGTAAAGTCTCTGTAACCCTTTTGTTCTATTTTATCCCATCTTCCTGGGCCACACTTTGTGATGCTGCACCTTAAATCAGGCTCATCTAAGTCTTACCCAAGTCAATGGAAAGCTTTCTGCTGGTTTTACAGCAGCCAGGATTTTGCTTTTTCATTGCTACTGTCATAGGAATAAGGATACAAGAAGATCTCTACAACTTTATTTCTTGCATAGTCTTTATGTTGAACGTGGGCCAGACACTAGAAGAGAGCTGCTCCAGGTACAGCCCGTATCAATGCAGGTCTAATGCCTACATTAAAGAAAAAAATGTTCTTAAGTAAAAAAGAAAAAAAGGGAATAAGCAGATAAGCATTTTACTACTTCAAAACACTACAGGAAACATGTCCCAGTGCAGGCTAGACTGCTCGCCTGAATCATTCCTCTGAATTATCCTCTATTTCATCTCTGAATCCAGTATTAAGCTGTTAAGAAAACGCTTCTTAAATTAGGAAGAATCTCTCTTGCTGCAACACAAAAGCATCTGTACAAAGTACACATGATATCACCTGGGAACAAACTAACAGGGAAGTAAAAATCATAATAACCTCTTGCAAATGAAAGTGATTTCCAGATATTTCCACTGGCTTCAGTGTTTGATTTGGAATTAAAGAGAACAGGGATTCAAAATCTGACCTCCAATCTGTAAATCCTTTTTTTCCCATTTAATTCTTTTAATACTAAGAACACAGCAATCAGATTAGAAACCAGTGTTGTCTGTATCTCTGTCCTTTAAATAAACTGCTGAATAGCACTGTATTATGCCTATGAGCTCTTTCAGACGATCTGTGAAAAGCATACTTAAAATTCCTCTTTCAAACTCAATTTGCAGTGATTTTCTTGCAGTAATATGAGAATAAATGAAAAAGATAATTGATTTCAACAGTAAGCGATTACACACAACGATTTTTCAACAGCAGTTGTCTAATTAAAAGATGATAAACCCAGCATATCAAGCTTTAGATTTAAGCATTGTTTTTAAGGTATTCACATGATATACAAGATGCACAACTTTTTGTATTCTGTTATATTGCAGATGCACCAAAATTCTTGTTACAAACTTTTAACCCTTCACAAAACATTTATGCTTGCATACATGATTTGTATCTGAAGGAAAGAAACAGCCACTGTCCAACGGAGTGAAAAGATCTGAAGATTATCCACATTAATAGGATTTACGACCAGGCTGATCTAAAAAGTGACACCGGACTAAAAATATCTCGACAAAATTAACAATGAATGATTTGTTATGAATATGAAACATGCATATGCACAGATGTCAGTTATATAACCCATTTCTTATTTCATTAAAGAGTAAACACTAGCCTGTTCTTTCAGCTTATCAGAACACAGTGAAAAGCAGGCACATTTCTCTCCAGTATTTCTCTCCTTTCATTAACAGATTTTTTAACTGCGTGTCTTTTACTACTGCAGCGCAATCTCATCTGCCTCCTCATTCTGAACTGCTGCGTACAAATGCCTATCGCTCCCAAAGGCTTTTCTAAGAAGCATCTGTAACAAAAGAATTGGAGGTGCATACCTTAACCTCTTGGTTGGCAAAAATCTCCACATCAACCCCACAGGCAACCAGAGTGGAGACATCACAGTCCATGCTACGGGCTGGCATCCCCCCCTTTCGTACACAGTTAGGCACGCTCAGAGGGACAAATGATTGGAAGGAAAAAAAAAAAAATCTTCAATACAGTATTGCAATTGAACAGTCCAAAAATCTGTTCCAGTGCTGACGATAAGCTTCAGACACAAGCTCTTTGCACTTAACCGAGTTGCTCCTTGCCTTTCCCTCGTACACCCACCAACTGAGCAGGCACAGCATAGTAACAGCGCTATTCCATCTCTCATGGCAATGACATCACCACAGAGACTGACATAAGCTAAATCTATTTTTTTCAACCCTTTTATCTCTAGGCAGCACAGTGGATCAAATTGAACGTGATTATGTGCTAAATCTGAACTCGGACTAAATCAATTCAAGCGGCGTTCACTGGCAACTGAGTCATAGCTGTTGTTTCAGCTGAGTGCTTATGTTGGCAAAAAAGATCGCCTGACGCTGAAAGCCACGCTCTGAGTGTAAATTAGCCCAGCATTTAAAGCCACTTAGCTCAGGGTAACGTTCGTTACTTTATTATACTTTAAAATCGATGGCAGAGCAGTAATGAAAAACAAAACAAAACCCCCCAAACAACATCAAACACAGCATTCTGCTTTTAACAGCCCCAAGTCTGTTTTAATAAAGCACGCTATGTTACCCCGCACACGAGCTTAGAGAACATCTAGTCCCGTCATCGGGAGCGATCCACACGCTGCAAATTCCATCCCGGTACTCGGCTATACAGGTTGCACCATGACTCATCTTCCGAAGGATCACAGGCATGGCTGCGTGATTGGGAAGTCAGTGCCCCTTCAAAGTACAGAACATGAAAATTTGCCATGGAATTGGGACGACACACTAGGCAGCTTTTACACCATCTGTGCTGAGGGTTACTCCCTCCCAGCTCTAACAGGATTCAACTGGAAGAAACAGATCTAAGTGAAGAAGTTTTACACCTGCTGACTCAGTGGTCTGTTTAGTCTTTGCAAGTTTATTTTTCAACGATAAAAATAAAATATCTACAAACTTGGGACTTCTAAAGTTGATTTTTACCCATTTACTTGCACCATTATTTTTCCTCTAACACTTCATGCTTGTGATCCATAAATTACTGTTAATTGTGGCAGGCCTACAGATGACATTTATGGTTAAATCAGATTAACAGGCAGAATTAAAACACTGAACTATTGATACAAACCTAGCAGCAGCACATAGCTCAGTGCAAGACTGTTCTGCTTACTCCGCCTTACTGACAGATGTTGCAGCTCATCCCACGTTCTGTGATCCTGCACAGAGTTTGCTACTGATATTTAAAGTAGGTTGTCTAAAACTGTCTTGAATGCCTGTGCTGAACCACAGTCAGGTTGGGCTGCAGGCTGCCATACCCTAACAGAAATCAAAATGATGACACCTGTGGAAAATACGTCAAGTTCTTTACATAAAACAGTGGATTCAGGCATCTAAAAGCAGAAGCAGCTTCAGATTATAGACTCAAGCTACTCAGCTTCCTGTCTTAATTCTTTTGCCAGCACCGTAAATTTAGTAAACGCAGGGAATTCCAGATTATCCAATGACAGAGGAACCTTCACCGAGAAAGCCACTCTTCACTCAGCACCCACGAGCTGGCAGTAAGGCTGGATGCTGATACGGAACAGCTGAGATCTCTTATCAGAACGTTCTTTTCCAAATTCTCTTAAATTATTTGCCCGCTTTTTAACTTGCATTTATAGTAGCCCCTCGACAATAATCGCAAACTAAGATCCAGAACCAGGACAGAAAGATATCCCAGCAGTAAAGATTTTACGAACCAAGACTACACTCATCAACGGAAGTAGATGGGGCAGAAACAAGGCAGCAAATGAATCAATATGGCTTATCGTGATAATCAATTATTTTGTACACCAGGCACTTAATCACTCTCAGGGTTTTATAAACCATAGGAAAAAGCTTTTTAGAAAGCATCTGAAGTTAACATTTTTGTGCACATTTAGAGGAATATGCATTCATATATTTGAATATCATATGTATGTGATATCATAAAAAAAAGCCATAGAGATGCCCGATGGAAGTTCAAAGTGGGCAGCGATGGAAAAATCATGTCATCAGAAAACTGAGAAGTTAGTAAGTGGTTATCAAAGAGCTGGAAGGAAACACCGAAAGCAAAGACGAGTCATGTATATCTGAGCCTAATGAAAGTTTCAGCAGTAAGGACCAACAGGACAAGAACCATAATAGATATTCAAAAAAGGGAAAGATGAAGAATTAGATGATGCTGATTCCCCAAGGTCTAGACAGACACCTGAAGTGCACGCGATGCCTGGTCTGAGTGTGGTTTCATAGCAGTGATGGAAAAAAGATCTTGCAATGATAGTTCCATAGTAACTTATTTCCTTTTTTTAATTTTTAAAACTGTTACCTACCAATTTCAATAACCCATCTCCTTAATCTTCTTATGAAAACTGGTACATGGCACTTTTACTGCTCATCTCCTTTCAAAACAGAATCATTGCAATTTTTCCTCTCCGAGTAAAGAAACCTTACTGAGATCACAATTACTTTCATTTCTTGTTTCTTCTTGACTATTCCTCAGCATAACCTATTTTTCCACTTTGAAAACCTCTCTAGCTCACTGGGATATTTTAGTGAGCTCTTTACAGAGACAACCTAGTTGGTTTTGCTTCTCGAAAACAAAGATTAACAGAAGAACTCTACAGAGCGTTTGAGTACTTCTTTCAATATATGTCATATTCTATTTGCTACTACTCACTTCTCATCTGAAATCAAGACATACTCCTATGTGAGATTTTTTTCAGAGCACTCTACAATTCCTAATGTTAATAAAAAAATCTTATTACTGGACAATTTAAAATTGATTAATGTTGACTGCTTTCTCCAGATGAGGAGACTTGTTTTTCAATCAGATTTAAAGAAAGATTCTTTCAATTTCTTTCAAAAAAATTCTTAACTCTGGATTAGACATATAAAATTTGGTGCTGAGGACCCAACCACAACAGCATACCTCTGTCAAGAGGGATTATGTTAGACTAGGTCTGGTATGCCCTGTGGGCTGGTAGCCAGCAGCAGCACAGTAGCAGCAGTCCTCAAGCATCCTCTGGTTCTGGTTCATCTGGTGGGAACCCACACGTCGAGTGCTCTGCCGTGTGAGCCAAAGCGCAGGAAGTGAAGGCCGTTTCAGAGGAAAATGACCTGAACTAGAATACTAATGCAAGTGCACCCAGAAGTCTATAACTCTATTGCTGTGACTACCAATTTTACACTGGATTTAAGACCACAACGACTAATTTAGAAAGAAAGTAGTGTTTTGAACAGTCATTCAGAAGTTTCTCAGTTGTTTCAGGTTTTGCTCACAGTAACACTGTGCATGCATTAAACGGGCACTATTCCACGTGTGTGAACGTTCCAGGGGAGTGAATTTAAGAGCAATTGAGACCCCCTTGTATATCTAGGCTCAATATGTAAAGACCATAGAATCATAGACTCACAGAATGGTTTGGGTGGGAAGGGGCCTTAAAGATCATCTCGTTCCACCCCCCCTGCCATGGGCAGGGACACCTTCCACTAGACCAGGTTGCTCCAAGCCTCATCCAGCCTGGCCTTGAACCCTTCCAGGGATGGGGCATCCACAGCTTCTCTGGGCAACCTGTGCCAGTGCCTCCCCACCCTCTCCATGAAGAATTTTTTCCTGATATCTAATCTAAATCTCCCCGCTTTCAAATTAAACCTGTTATCCCTGTCCTGTCACTACAGGCCTTTGTTATAATAAGCAAAAGCCTCATCCAGTGAGTAAATTATGTCACTCTTGCTTCTGATTTTAGCTGGTATTTTTGGTTACAATGTGGCTGATATTACTGTGAGGTCCAGATACAGTTAAGTATCCCTAAGGCTAAATCAGCAGTAGTTTGCTTGCAAAAGGTGCGTTCAAGATTTAGCACAAGTTGTTTTAATGACTTGACAGTTGAGCTTGAAAAGTCTTAAATCTGTGGGAGTATTTCTATGTATCGAGCTCAGATGTAGCTATAACTATGGTAATGCTGCAGAAAAACTCCAGACACAGGAGTAATGGTCGTACACTAGGGTGCAAACCATACTCCTTAAGGTGTGGTACAAATCCAGAAAAATAAGAAGAAACCCTTCATCAATGACCCGTTGATGCTTGAATGGAACAGCATCAATGACTCACATTATGCCTGACTCAAATGTTTTTAATGATATGCATCTTTATCGATCTCATTCAGCCTACTACATAAGTCAGAAGTATTTAAAACAAGCTCACTCATATACCTGTAGCTAGGAACATACGTTTACAAACACAATCCTATTTTTTAACACAATTATAAAAGACAAATACTTTCAAAAACCCATAAAGATTTAGTAACGTAAGAGCCATGGAAAAAAGCCCAGAAAAAAGACAGTTCTTCCAGTTTCTCTGTCTGCAGCAGAAGATAAGGCAACCAGATATATTCTTCAGGAGCAAAGTTAGCTCCTTCAAACAGGTTTTCCATAAAGCCATTAAACGGAAGTAGAATACTGATAACTCAGTAGGGCTTAGCTCAGCCAGAAAAGAAAAAAGAACACGCATATTTATTTTTTTTTAGCAAGCACTGACTTGTGCTAACGTAGATTGCATCCAAAAAGGATGGAAGGAACAGATATACCCATGCAGAAGAACACACCAGCAACACATCTGACATGGGGAATCTGGGCCAAGAATTGTGAACCGAGGGGAGAAGTGATCCTCATCTCAAGCTACGTTGCAGTTCACGCTCTGTATATTCTGAAGGGTGAAAGGCTGGCACTTTCAGGGCACAATTCAGAAAGAGATGTCTGAAGTTAAGGGAGATGTGAAAGCAAACAAGATAAAACACATTAACCAATGCTATGAGCGAGCATCACCGTGCTGGATGAATTCACCGTCACCTGGAAATAATCTTCCCACTCTTAATTCCCAAACAGAATGGCCATCAAATATTACTCTGTTAAATTATGCCCCTTTTATA